AAATCTACTTATAATATTATATGCATCAATTTGTTTAATATTATATCATATTTCATTTAATATCATATAAAATTATAGACTTATAATTTTATGTGATATTGTAGTACTGATAATTATACACTTTTTTGCTAAAGATATTGTTGTAAGTTGTAACAACTCCTATACAAAGTCTTTGTACAACACAATAAGATGAATCTATTCTTTTAAGATAGAGGTCAAAATAATTAATAAAACCTTTTTTTTTTCTTACTTCACTACTAAAAACTATGATATATTGGCATGGGTTTAATATCTTAGGACAAGAACATACTACAACCATAATATTAAGTCTGCAAATGTCACTGATGAGAGATCAGCTGTCAGCTATAGATGTAATAATAGTTATAAAAAAAAGTACAACTACAATAGTTGATTAAAAAAAAAAAAGCTCCTGCCATAACATAGACAATAACATATATATAGTATATTTTCTATATCAGTTCTTGATATTTTTTGCATATACAGAGAGAAGTGGGTATTAGTCATGATTCTTATAAAAAAAATTGGATTTTCAACTTCAAAAGCACCATTATCTAATGAATATTTTAAAAATTTAACTATTGGATTTAGTTTTTTATTCATGTAAATTATGTATGCCAGTTTTTAAATTAATTAATAGAACATTAAATCTAATAGTTTGTTTTTAAAACATTTATTAAAGAGAGTTGAGGGTATGTTGGTGACGTAGGATGATGAGTTAGCGATGGCAATGATGTGGAAGTTGACTAGGATAACACCTGAAAAGATGAGAAGGGTCATCCTAGTGGCACCTGTTTCACGTGTGAGAGGCTATGTGGCACGGGCTGTCTTGATCTACCCAACGGTGTTGAGTGACAGTAAGTTCTCTAGTGAAGTTTGAAGGTATAAACTACCCAGCCAAATTCAAAGGAGGAAAGAGCCGGGCTGCGATGGTGGAGTTTTAGGAACCATGAATGATTACACAACTATCAAAAATAAAAAAGAGGAGGAGTTTATCATTATTGGAGCAACAAGGACAGCGAATACATAAGGGTTCAGGATTACAACTTGAGAAGCACATTTATACATAAAGTATTGCCACATAATAGTAATAGCAATAGATGCGCCCTTTATTATCCCTCTCAATCACTCTCACTCTATAGTAAGAAACTCTCATTATGCAAACATAAGATACAACAACTTCTCCGTCAAGCTTTCACAGGGACAAAAGGGATAAATATGAAAGCAATGATAGGAGAAGGAAGGATAACCGTTTGGGGCTTTCGAGTGGGTGACATGATCTCTTCCTCTAATGCTAACCACCTGACTTGATCCTTTGATGCTCAAGAAAAATGATTAAGAGACTGAAACTGCACTATTCTATCTTCCAACCATACTGTCCCACAAATCTGGAGATTGTCTTGCGGTGTTGGGAATGTAGAATATGTGAAGGTGGATGATGGTTTCTAGGATGTTAGGTATGTATGTTGAAAGAATGGAAGTGAATAAGCTAGTATGCTCGGGATGGAGGTCTGGATGCCAGAAGGGGAAAATGAGGTGGTGTAAAATCTAATTTTTTCTTCTTCCTCTCTCCCTTTCAAAAAATGAATGGAAAAATAATATATATGTGCAGTAGTATTTTTGTAATTTCTGAGTTTGATGGGTTAGAGCTGCACAATGGCCTAATTTGTAGATTTGGGTGAGTTGTCAAGCTTTGAGTGGCCTTGGGCACTGCTGATAGCTCTCTGGTAGTGTTATTATGAATTACTTAGTGGTTCTGGCGAAGCTTTCACTGGTTCTAGCAAAACTTTCGATGGTTATAACGAAGGATTGAAAATTACCTTCTTTTGGTAACTTCTCCAACCATACGAAATTCCATTTTTGGGTAGATGCTTGAGTGCAGCCGGCAAAATAACACCTGCACAGGATTTTGGTGGAGTCCCCAGGGTTTGCGTAGGATTTTGAAAGATTCTCTAAGAAATAGTGATCTTCTCATCAATTCCCAACACAGTGTAACTTCTGTAGCCACTTTTGCATTAAATATGGCTGCAAATTGCTGATGAGGACTAAAGCAACATCTTTTGTTAATCTTTCAGTGGGATTTCAAGTCTTTGGTTAGCATCAGAAGGTGCTGTTTCAGATATCAAGCTCATTTTCTCGTCTTCGCCATCCAGCCCTTTCTAGTGAAGTTGGGCAGCATCGCCAGCGCCAAGCCTTGCTAGTGTGGACACCCTGCTTCGCCAGATGGGTAACGTTCACCCATCCATGCCTGCCAAGCCACTACTTCCAAAATTTATCCTGAATATTTCACATGAACTTGGATTCATGGGTTCATGCCTATCTACAACGAAGGTAAAATATTGGTAAGTAATTGTTTGAAGATTTAAATATAGAATGTACAAATATGTGCAGCGAAGAAGGATACTCCTTGGCATATAAGAGGGAATAATGAGGATGATTATGGCTACGCTCTTTTGTTCTGTGGCCATGGCGAGCATTTGTATGCTGTCGTTATACATGGCTGGCATTGCGCCAAGATGGGTAGCAAGTAATATTGATGTGTGTTGTAATATCATTGTTTTGATTCAAGCATTGTTGGTCGATGATACCTATTAACACATGAAATATGAAAGAAATATGCTATGAATCGGGAGTACTGGCGACTGGTAGTTTTGTCTCTTTTCTCTTTTTACTTTTTTTTGAATGGATTGGACAGTCGGGATTGCTGGTAGTGTGACTCTATTGATATGCTTCGTAATCAACATGAGATTTAAATGTCTTTGATAAGGTAACTTTTTCAGCTATTCTAATAAAAGTTTTAGAAGACTGAAGACTGATTTCTTGATTCATTTTATGGACATAGCTCGAGAAGAGCTAATGAAAAAGGATGATGAGATTTCTGTGGAGAAGCTGCTGGTTGTATTTATTTCTAATAAATGTTGTATAGGTTACATAGATTTCAATCCTTCTTATAGGAGTTCAAAACTCAGGTGAAAATGTTTATAACAGTCATGATTACTAAAATATCTTAGTCTTTGCTGCTGCTTTGAGTATATAGTCTCTATTGGACCTTGCTTTACGTACCGCAGTTGGTGCAGCCGATCCTTGTCATGAGGATTTAACATGTTATGTTGTTAGTAAACCTTTCTCTTCACTTGTTCATCAATGAAACTTTTGGATTGAATCTGCATTAAATCATATTTTATGTTCTACTCTCAGGAGAGATCTTCTTTGCTTAGAGGATTGGGCACTTTAAAAGATTCAGATACCAAGACAAGCACTGATAGTAGCCATCCAGAGAAGCCCTTAAGCATTACTGGTCTTGAGACATTTTCTTTGAGCTGCAAGGTTTGTTCCAAGACCTTCTCTCCCAAAAGGATTATTTCAGTTACATGGTGACATGGTTGATGTACCTGTAGGATTAATTGCAAATCTCCCACAAAGTGTATACTTTAAATTTCGGGACAGTGTTAAAAGTATTTTAAATACTTTTCTGCAGTATTTTTTCTGGGTTATGTTGACCCATCCGTATTTTCCAAGATAATAGAAGTATAGAATGAAAGGTTGTTAGAATTTCTTTATCTGGTGGCACATTAGCCGGTAAGTCAAATAAGAGTTACTTGTCAATTGTTATATCAACAAGAGCCTTGGTAAAATACCGGTTAATTTTCCACTCCCTTTTCCATGTGGATCGCCAGTGTTTGAGAGCCGGCCCAGCAATGGCAAGAACCCAACATAGGCCCAAATAAAGAATCAAACAATGATAATACACGTGATCATTAACACATGGATTTTTTTTTATTTTTTATTTTTACGATCGTTGAGATAGAATTCGAATCCCATACTTTAAGGTAATATAAAAAGGTTTTTATAAAAAGTTAATAACTACTCGGCCACAAGGTCATTCTCAACACATGGACTAATTGAATAATAACATATGGCACAAATATCATAAATGAGAGTTATAAATATTTTATTTATTTTCATACAAAATAATAATTTCACTATACTTTTTTTTGCAATATTTCAATTTTAAGAGTTTTTTTTTTTAAATATAAAATATTACTAACTTAAGTATAAAAGTATCCTCCGATGATAATTTTTTTAGACTTTTAGGTACCAGAGTAATTCAGGGTATCAACAAAATATGAATTCATGAAGCTGCCTAAACAGCCAGCTTTTGGCAAATGCATCAAGCATGGACTTGAACTTTGATACACTTTAGTCACATTTTACCCTCTTTTTTTTTTTCTTTTTTCTTTTTTTCTGAATGAAAAGAAAAAAAGTAATGTCCCTGTCTTTTTTATTCTTCTGTTTTGATTGCAATATTTTTTCTTTCAGGTAGTTCTTGCTTTTAATACTTGTGGAACTGCCATCTCTCAGTCATCTCTACTCGGCCGTAGCATGCTTAGATTTATTAACAGTGTTCTACATTATCTAACATTTGAGGTAAGTTCTTCTCATTTACAGCATGTTTTCTTTAAGTGCTGGGTACCGAACTCTCTCTCGAATTTTCTGCAAACATTTGAGGTAATTCCTTAGATTTATTTTTACCTAAAACGATTCTGTTTTCGGGTAACATTAGAAAACAAATTTTCTTGCCTTCACTTCCTCTCTTGCGATGCCCCTATCCTTTGCAGGATCAGGACGCGTGGGAATCCAATCTGGAAAATACCACACCCAAATTATACCTCTAAACACTTTTGAGGAGAATGGTGTCATCTAAAAATTCAAATTCAAAATTCAAAGTTTGGCAGCCCCATTCTCAATCCCTTAATTGTATTAGTTATAAAAAATAGAAAAAATAAAATGAGTTAATGTTGTTGGCCCCCCATTTTGTCCGCTGGGATTTTCGTGTCCCTATGTTTTTTACTGCCATTTCCTCCCCCTATTTTATCATAATTAATGTTGTTGCAAGTACGCTTTGCATTATTGGTTGAAAAAGCATGCAAAGTTGCAGACTTGCAGGCTTGAAATGATGGTAACGAGGGAAACTTTGTGGCAGCCGAAATTCTTGACATGATGGAGATTGCTTGCTAATGTATCCGTGAAACATGGATGTAATGAAAGCCCATGACTTTGCTGCCAAATGCATTAATTATGGGCGGTAGATTTCGGCTATAGAAGGGCCTTTGGTCATTCGGCAATTCATCAAAGCGGAATCCAAGGCAGTGTGAGCTCAAGAAAAATGCAAGACAGCTGAGGGTGCTTTGAGTGAGTGTGAGCAAGGGCAGAGTGTTTAAAACTCTTTGCAAAGTGATTTCAAGTGTGTCTCACCTTTAAAAGCTATAAGTGAGATTTTGGTGTATTTAAAATTGAAGTATTTGTGAGAGAATCACAAATTATATTTTTTTATTTGATAATGAATTTTTTTTTGTAAGTGTTTTTGAACATAAACTCAATTAATTAGCTGAGTTATGTAAATTTTGTGTCTTTCTTATAATGATGCATTGGATTAACCAAAATCTTAAGCTGTTTGCCATAACAATTAATTCTACATAAACCTGGAAGAAGCAATTCGACTTGGGAAACTCTTGGCCCAATTCTGTATATTGCTCCTAGTCCATGGTCATTCTTGCACTTTAATAAAAAAAAAAAAGGAGAATAGAATGAAAAGAAGACACTGCGTGCTGTTATAGGAGAGGAAAAGCTCATTGCCAAAATAATATTCAATGCATTCTCTTCTTTTATGTCCATACAATAAAAATCTATAACGAAATACAATAAAATAAGATACAAAAAGACATTGGGTCTCCAAACATTGGGCCTAAATTGTTTGGATCCACTGCACCTATCAATAAAAAGAAGCAAAAATAAGAGGAAAGGCAAAGAAAATTAAGAAATTACACAAGAAAAACGCAATAGGAAAATGCTTTCCCCATAACAACAACATGAAAAAGAAGCCCAACAGAGGCAAAAGATGGACTGATCTAATTTAAAGCTTGACATTGAGATCTAAACATAAGCCCAAATCTAATTTCGAATGAGAAGCCTCGTACGCTCAGCCCAATAAAAAAAAAAGAAAAAGAAAAAGAAAAAAAAATTAAGCATTAATTTCAAACCTGTCAAACAAGATAAGACGAAATTTCAGGACAGGCCAAGACACATATGTAACCCAAGGTCATTCCACAAAGACTTTTGCCTATAAAAGTAGCCAATCAGCCGCTCAAAAGGACAGAAAGGAGAATGGACGGCTCGGGAGATGGGAAAACAGTGATTTAGAGATTAGATGGGGTGAAGTAGAAGGCAGTAAGAAGAGAATCACACGATAGGAAGTTAACCCAAAAAAAAAGAGGGAGAGAGAGAAATCTTACCAGGAAACTCCTTCTTGATTCCTTCCTTATCCAGTATATCCATACCTTAGAAGAAGATGAACTCAGATGTGAGGACTACAAAAGGGTAGGATTGTTGGAGTTGTGACAGCAAGAAAGGAGACTCTACAAAGATCTGAATGCTGGAAGGTAGTTGCGCAATGGCTGGAGCATTAAAGACGACCAACGGCAAAGGAAAACAGGTGCGGTTGCATTCATTTAACGTATTTAACTCTTCAGAGTAGAGTTAACTTCACAGTAGAGTGTACCCATGGGCAGTGGGTGGCTCCTCGAAGATCAATTATGGGTGGTGACTGATCTTTGAGAGTGTTGGACATTACTATATGTTATGTTATATTTGCTCGCTGCATAAAAAAAAATCTTAGATCAGTTAACCCATTGAAAATTAAACTTTTTGAGTCCCCCCATAGCTAGCGGGTGGGACTTCTCCGGGATCTGCCATGATTAGTGGCCGGTCTTTGGAGCATTAAATCACGGTAACTTTACTTCCCGTATCACAAAAAACACCAGACTTTCAAGATAATGAATCTGATAAATTTTTTTAAGCCGTGCACTTAAAATATAAATTCAGGGTATAATTAAAATATAAGTTAGGGGTATAATTAATGTATTTTTAATTATTAATTAATATTAAAAATAACAAAAAATTAAAATTAATTTTATTATTACTGACATATAAATTACTTTAGTGGTACAACTAAGTAAATAATGCCAAATTTTAATTTTTTTTAATTCGCCCATGAACAGTGGATAAATTCCACATTGTCAGCCGTGGATAGCGGCTGATTTAGAAAAATTGAACATTTGAAATTAAGAAGGAAAATATCATCAGTAAAATAGAACCAGAAAGAGGGGGAAAAAAAAAAAGGTCCCACCATAATCACCTCAAATTCTCCTCAATCCTCTCTCCGTTCCCATCTTTTCTTCTTATCATCGATCCCTTCAGTTTAGCTGTCCATCCAGACGTTCCAATCCTTTCACTCCATTTTTCACCCTCGCATATTCACATGTCGGAATCGCCTTTTCCCATAGGCCCACCATAATCGGCTATTTGGTCTTCCTAGTTCCCTCCTATTTGGTCCCTCATTGCTTAATTTTCTCATAAAGTCCTTAGAAAAAATGATAGGTTGGTTCATCCACTTTTAAGTTAATAAAAGACAAAATAAGTGATCGTCCTTGTGGGGGAGGAGGTAAAAATAAAATAAAAATATAAAAATAGTAGAAAGGGCAAAAACAAAAGATATAAATAATGTAATAAAAATAAAAATGATTTAAACAAATGATTCTCCTGTGTGTAATTGGAGGGTTAGTAAACGTGGTCTCTTATGGGTAAATGAGAGGTCATTAAAAAAAGATTACAATATAAATTATTTCCTTTGAGAATGTATATTAGTCTTGAAATTCTCTCATAGATGGTGGGAGGGTTTCTTGTATCAAATAAGAGTTCAATTAAAGGATAGTGATGTGTACACATTTTGGTTCAATACATTACATATTATATTTATTAAAATATTATTATTTTTTAGTATGAAATTAAAAACACAAATTTAAACATGCAACCATATAAATAGGATGTTTAAATCAATTAAATCAGTTGTACTTATATTATATTTTAATAGTTGAACTAAAATAAGTGTTAAAAGGTTTATTGAACCGACTGTGTATTACTTATTTTCCTTAATCAAATCATCTAGCTTACCTCAATAGAATAATTCATCATGAATAAGTATTGTTTGTAAAAACAAGTGGTGTCACCGACGTGTTAATACCTTCCTCGTGTGAAACTATACTCTTGAACTCAATTTTGGTTTGCATATCAAAAGTTTCATTCCATACAAGTTGTTAAACCTATTTGGAATAAACTGATTTAAGGTGGTTGATCACACCATTACAAAGGATTGTTGGTGACTTTAAAACATTTCACGCAACCATTTCTCACATAAAAGTGTCATTCTATGTTGGGACCCTTGCTTGCTTAGAGGGATGTTGTGATATCTACCATTTCGCCCAAAGGCCTAAATTAAAAAAATTACTTATATCAAGATAGGGGAGGACTCTCAATATCAAGAGACTTATCCTCTTTCAATAGTTAGTATTGTACAGCCTAGTATAATTTATATTATACAACACTTTTTTGTAATAAAACAATATTATTGTGAACTTACAATACCATAAGACATTCTAAACATATCATTTTCAAATACCACATTTGAAAAATGCCCACCAATAATAGCCAAATAATTCTTTAGTAAAAAATTGTTTAAAGTGCAAATGGGAGAAAAAAAAAAAGAATAAAGAGGAATGGAAAGACATTCTTGTACATTGACAGAATTCAACTTATTCGCAACATGTTCTAATCAAGAGGTTTATTAGTTTCAATTCAAACCTACAAAAAAAGGAAAAGTGTATATAAATTTTAATTGCTAAAAAAGTATAGTCTACAAACTCGAAACTAAGTTATATTAATAAAAAAAGGGGCTAATCGAACTTATTTCAAAATGAATATCAACCAAACTAAAATGCATTTGGCTTAGCTTTCTCAAAATATTTGTGTTGACTTCTCTTTAAATGGCTTTAGCTACAAACCCATGCCCTTCTACTCAAGAAAATGATCCTTTGAGCATATTTGCTAAATAGATCGAAGGAGTGGAACACCCACCAATTGTTAAGGATTTTCAAATGATTGAAAAGCCTTAGCCTTTCTAATATAGAGATTTAGTCATGTGAAGTGAACCAAGAGAGATTAACTGTGACACATCAATCAGTTTTGCTCTTCTAGATGAAGATACAGCCATAGAGGATGATGGATCTATCCAATGATCCTCATTTCAAAGAAAGAAAAGAAGTGTATTTGGTCCACTTAGATCAACTTAATCATCATCAAAGCTTTTGGTACTAAAATTGCTGGTTACAACTTCGTTTACCTAAGGATCAAAGCACAATGGAAACTGTAGGGACATATGGATTGTATTGATATTGGGTTGAATTTCTTTCTAATTCAATTCTA